AATATATAAAAAAGCTTAGGGCACAGGAAACACAAGATAAAATACTACCTACGTGAGTTTAATGCTACATCAATAGGTCAGAAAACAAAAATTAAATAATATTTAAAACAAATGAATTATATATTTAACATCTATATTTTCACAATCTCTCCACCTAATTGTGTAAAAATAAACTTCCTAAATTCATATGAATTGAAAGCCTGTTTAACATCTAAATTTCTGCTAATGTGATAGGCATAATAACAAATGAATACTCCACAACTCATGCCATCATTCTGAATAGCGTGATTGGGAAACAAACAATACCAATTATCACATATATCTAAAACATTATTAAGGATACTTTGCCACAAATGAATTAATGAATACACAGAATTTTGAACAGCATTAAAACCAAGTGGATCATAAAACTGAAACATTCTATCTTTAATCTTAAGTAAAACCCAATGATTATTATTGATAAGAGCTGGAATAAAAAAGAAATCAACAGATGCAAAATCAGCTTTTTTCCATACATTTTGAGTTCTATTACCTGACTGAAAAAATGGTGTATGGTAACATTTCGCAGCTATGGAAGAAGTATTATGAAGAATGGTAAAAACAAAAGCATCAATAATATTGTCACTAAGCCAGCCAAGCTGAAAATTATTATTTACAGCCTTCAGGGCTAAAATTTCTTCATTTGAAATATAAGGATCAAGAGATTTTATATCGAGAAATGTTAGAAGTGTTTCCCCAGCTCGCAGAACACATTTTGAAATATCGGATACATTAAGCTCAGAGGTAAAAGAATTATATTTAAGTAAATTGCTACCCTTAACCTTAATTGTGGTATCCTGTGATGATTTTATGATCATTCACATTATTATTATTTGATAACCCTAACAAACCTTGCTTGACATTTTTTTATTATAAGTATCGGGATAATCTAGAATTTTACGTTTTATACCTTTCACAGATGTTGTACGAAACAGAGTTTGACGTGATAATTTTAAATTTGGAGCAACCTGAGTAATGGCATTTTATCAGAAAAATCTTTAAATGGTTTGATTTTATTGCACCTTTACAATTAGAAAACTATATCTTTTAAATTCTTTGTTATACTAGGTATTAATATCTTTTGGATTGTCGGATGCGGCAACATAACTAATAATTCAGACATTAAAGTCTTACAAGTGTTAATTTTAGGTTCAGTGTTACACACAACAGTATCTGAAATAGCATTAGATTTTTTAATCAATTCTAGAGGGGAGGAGTTTTCTGCTTTAAGGATATCTGTTGCAATTACAGAAGGACTTGGTTGCCTGCATGTAATTGAGTGTATTTTATGTACGTGTTTACATAGTGTGCTGAAGTCTGGACAATTACAATTATATAAATGATGACACAGATTTAGACAGGAGAGGTTAATACACTTTGAATAACAATGATCTGTTTCTGAACATAGTTCATGCAACCGCTTAACTGTATATTGAATATTTTTACGTGTCTGATTTTATAGACCACAAACAAGGATGTGTTTCTGTTACATCACTATCAGGTATTTTCATTCCAGATTCATGTCATTTATTATACTTATAATCCATGTAAATATCTTCTTCAATTTTTAAAAGCACATTAATGAAATTATCGAGGCGTCTGTTAAATTTACGTTTTAAGTACATAGTTTTCAATTTATTGTGAAATGACTCGCAATACATGTTAGTATCTGTGAATGCATGAGGGAAGTTTCTGTATGCCATTGACCACAGACTTGCTCGGCAATAATAATACTCCTCAAAATAATTTACAAACGATGGTGCAACAGCTCGAAACTTTTGAAAGGAAATTATCCATCATAGAAATAAATAAAGAAGAATTAGTTTCTTCAAGCAATATAACTAAAAATAAATTTCATCCCTAAGTTTTTGACTTGAAACCATCGGAAATAAACTACATTCCCATGCACAATGTACATGCCATTTACATAGTATATGTTTAATACATCGACCAAATGCTTTGTAAAATGCAGGATGTGTAGTTTTATCATTATCTATCATTAAAGAATTAATATTAAGCTCAGGTATTTTATTTTTTTTGATACTAAGAAATAAATTGTACATCGTATCCTGATCCAACTGATTCGAAATAAAATGTGCTAGGGGGTAACCACTACCAAATTCATCTGGGACAATTAAATTTAGCAAATAAAAATCATACTGATTTTGTTTTGTGAGTAGAATCTATACATAAAATCCTGCTACAACCTTTAATCATCATTTCTTTTTGCTCCTTTGTCTGCAATCCTAGTGCAAAAGACAGAGTGCCAAGGCCTTTCGGACCATACAATGTTGGTTTTCCTTGAGGTTTGTAAATAAGAATAGGGTCATACAATTCCTGCCTAAGTTTCTCAACTATGGCAGCAACAGAAAGTGAATCATCACTAAGAGAAGAAATCATTACACGCTTTACATAGTAATTTATAGTAGTCCTACATGTTACAAAATTATCTTTAATACTTAAGCTCTCTCTATTATCACGTGATCCACTTCCATCTCAGATAAATTCTTGAATTTGATCGGTGGAAACACCTAACTGAGCATAAGTTTTGATTTGATCACGACAATTCTGACTAAGCTGTTGAAATTTGGTATTTTCAAACGACAGCTCATGATGTGATCCTGACCTGAATAAAAAATAGCTGTCGCAAAGATCTTGTTCCTCAGAAACTAAAATTCTACATAGACATCTGAAGCCTATTGGTAAAGAACTTTTAAAAATTTTTCAACTTGAAACTGGCAGTGTTTTTTTTTTGTGTTACATTGAAGTGACAACAATAATAATGGTATGCTTTATTGACCTTACATATACTCCCAGAACACTTCTTAAAAGAACTGAATGTTTCCTTAGAATGACATTCTAACCACAGCTGAAACTCCACCATTGATGAAAATGTAAGCTCCTTCACATCCATCTCAGAATTGTGAAATTCAGCCAAATGTTTATTATGATCACTAATAAACTGGAAGGATGCCTTGCAATCAGGAAAAACACACGGTTTACGAATAATTAAATTATTTTTAGAACAGCAAAACTTCTTATGATGAAAAAGGTTACTGTGGGTTTTACAGTCTATTTCACAGTTGTCACAAATATATGATTTTGAATCAATTTCAGAAGACACAGATTTACACCTTTTTTTATGATTAAAAAATGACCGTCTTGAAGCATATGACTTCATGCATACCTCGCACGTTTTTTGATATTTATTTTCTATTTCATCATTCTTTATGGTAGTACATAAATTATCCTTATTTAAAATTTTACTGTTACGTTTGTGTCTTGATAAAGTTTCTTTACAAGAGAAATCTTTCTTACAACATGGACAAATTATAGTCTTTATATCTGAGTTAACAGAGGTAATAACTTTGCAGTTTTTTTGAACATACCCATTTTCAGATTTCTGTACATTACTTTCACCCTGATTAGAATCATTTGCACTCCCAAACTTAATGTTAGAGCATTCTGAATAATTTTTAAGAATAGAAAACTTGTTAAAATGAAAATATGGATGGTAAGAATTAAAATTTGCACAAGAACCAACAACTGATGGGCAAGTATTGGAATTGGTGACAAGCTGAGTAGATGAAACAGAGCCTCAAAAGCCAGTAGGCTGAGAAGTGACTAACGACATAAAAGAAAATTTAGATACAGATATAGTAGCCTTCTGCAAATCTGAATCAGAGCAAACAAATGAACCCTTAAAAACTGGAAAATTCGACATGGAAGTACAAGAATTGAAACTGATACCAAGATGAGATGATGATGAATTGGAATCCGAAGAGCCTGCAGGTTGAGATGATAATACTAGAAAATCCATGTTTTAAAACATCTGAGTAAAGTGGCTTAGGAGGTGGATCCAAAACATTTACACTAGTGCCAAGTGAATATTCAAGAAGTGGAAAATCTGATAAACTCGGAATACAGGGATTAGTATTCAAAACAGAGCTAGTAAAACAATCATGCTTTAAAACATCTGAATAAAGCGGTTTAGAAGAAGAAACATGGCACAAAAAATCTCTAGAATTACAAACCCGAACACTGGAAACTAAAGAACGTTTCACAACATCTGAAAAGAGTGGTTTGGAAACAGAAGCACCAAGATTACTACCCAAATGAGTACTCAGAACAGAAGGAATACTGGTTAATGCTGGGAAACTGCTAAGGGATGTAGAACAAAATGGTGCACTTACCTCTGCAGCAGTCAAACTTATCCTGATATCTTTTACAAAAATTTTTCCCAGCTGCTGATTACCTCTCCGATTTAGGTGTAAACAGTCTCTGGATAAACAAGTACTCCAAGAATAGTCAAAAGAGCTGCAAAAGAAAAACCCATCTTTACCTTCGTATGTTGCGAGAAATCTTGAATTTATGTTAGTATCTTCCTATTAAGTTCTTGTAGGTGATACGTGTTACAATCTCGATATAAATCCGGGCATCGTGGGAGAACACCTGAAAACAGAATGACCTTCGGGTTTAATCGTTCAATTCCCTTATATAGACAACCATATTTACGATGAATTTCATCTGAATCGTCATTTGAATTATTGGTACCAACGTGGACAAAAACTAAATGAAAATGGTTGTTCATAAAGGCAATCTCACGTGTCAACTTTTCAATCCTAGCTCCTGGAAAGCAACGAAAATCAACTTCGTAATCAGGTAAATTCGCAGACAAATATTCTTGTAAATATTTAATCATAGAATCCCCGATTATGAGTATTTTCATCTTTTCAGATTGCTTAGACAAACACATAACTAAAATAAGATAATTAAAACACAAAATATCAGCGCTAATACTACGTACCTTGCTTCCCCCACAGCAGCACGTGCAAGCAAAATGGCGAAAACGTGTATTGCTTACTTCGAAAAATTACATTTGGCTTCATTTTTCAATTTTGGCGCAAATTAAGGTAACCTCTTAGTGTTGCCATCGGTCACGTGAGACCCGCTAACTTCCGTAAACTCTCAGCGTTTGCCGTCGCATATATCTGCAAACCTCTTTTTCTGCTGTTGTTCACAAACCGGCATCTAAGTTATAGTTCAGCGGATATTTCTTAAAATATGTATGTAAATATAATGTTATTTACTTGAAGCTGCTTCTGATATTTGATTCTCAGTAACAGGTGAAAGTTTCTTTCATGACGTTAATCATTTCTGTGTAGTTTAAGGCAAATCCGCAAATATATTTTTGTATAAATTCACTTATGTTTATATTGATGATGTAAATGCTTATAAAAATTACATCTTGTTAAAAACAAGTATTTTTAATGCTCGAAAAATTATGGTTTCAGAATGGATGTGTATTCCCGCCTTAACGTGCACCTTGAAGCTGTTTTTGAAGATACTGATAATGTGTGTATATGTACTCGTGTCCAGTTAAGGTAAAAGCTTAAAATTTTATTTCCTGTGAATTTCTTATTTGCCTAAATTAATTTTATTAGTTAATTTGGGTTTTCATCCGCAGAGAACCCGTTGGCGCCGTTGCATTTTTACTTGCCGATGAGCCGAGCCGTAAACGTTCTATTTTGTAAACGTGATTTTTAGTGTATGTAAATTAAAGTTAGCTGAAACAATATATTAAGCATATGGTAGTAAAAATTTACAGATAGTAAGCATGTGGATGTAAAAGTAACCGGTTAAACGTGATATATGAAAAATAATTTGTATTAAATTCAAGTTAGCACAGAAAACAATACATTAAACGCAACGGGAAGTAAAAATTCATTTAAAAAATAAATATTGGTATTCTTATACTTAAGTTTACATTATGCTTATATGTGTTTTCTCTAATTCACATAGAATACTAATATTTTTGAGAGTTGCAATAATTTTTTTTAATCCACCTACAGGAAGTGTTGCTTAGCAGTTTGAATAAAATTATTATTATATTGATGTGCAATGCACTTCCATAATATCAAAGATAAAGGTGGGTTGATCTTTAGATTATGGTAACTTGGCGATTTTTTGGCGACCAACTCTCCTACAGCAACCCTCTATTTTTTTTTTCCCTGCCGCCATTTTGTCTTCATGAAGTAAAGACATGTTTCTTTTCTTTTTATCTACTGAACACTTCTTCCAACAATCTACTAGCCGAATTACACTTATGCTAGAAATTTTATCTAACAAAACTGCTTAATCATGACAAATATTCACTGCAAAATTGGGAAAAAGTGCACAATACCATACTCCTTACGCATTTTTCAAAATAACACATACACATAAACCATGTACACGTCGACTTATTTTTACTTAAAAAAACATCCCAGAATTACACAAAAATGGCATTGTGCACACTCTTCACTATATCCATGTACACTGCTTTTTCTCATAAATTAGAAAAATTTCACGAAAATACATGACAATTTTCTGAATCTTTAAACCCAGTAAAAAGAACTTATATGAAATTACCTGATCGTGAAAAAGTATATACCCTTTCCAAATATGAACATTTCTACGTATAAAATAAATAAAATATCCAAAACTTTTACCTCTAAATTATCTATTATATTATAAACGTCACCAACGAATTCATGCCGCAAACATTACAAATACTTAGTGTCAAATATTTAAATTATTTCCATGCACGTTTACTTCAACTAAAACATATACCAAATTCCTACAAACATAAAATTCACAAAATAACTATCATTTAATTAAAATATAATTAAATTCAAAAAACACTACTTAAAATATAAAAAAGCACATACATTAAATTAATAAAATTAGCTTACAATCCTAATTACTTTAAACTAAATCATTGCTAATAACAATTTTCCCAATAATACCAAATTACTTTACTTCCACCTTACATTTAGAACAATGCATAAAAACTAAACCTCAAATAATTATAAATACTAACTTACCTAATCTTCTTCAGAATCTTGATTACGTGTCCGATAAACTTTTCTTATTTCCTCCGCTAAATAAAAAGCAAGCGTATGTGCGCCTGTTTCAGGATCTTTAAAATCATACTTATAGTTCACAGCAAGGTACCAGGTAAAATAAATAACTTAATAAAACATCTTTACTTCTATCTCGCACAACCTTAAAGAAACACTTATTACTATCCCTTTCAATCCCACTAAATACCCATTTTGAATTCACTTTAGTTAGGGCCATGGGATCCAAAAATTAACGAACACTATTTCACACAACACAGAATAAAGCCAAATACAAAATTTCCAGATTTTTTCCCGATTTCCCCCCTTTTCCGATTAAAAAACCGTAATTCGTCCATTAATATCACATGACATATCCCATGATCTCTCATTTCCCTCACACAAAATAATGCGTAATCGGAACTGAGTACTGCTCACATTATTACCAAAGTCCCAGGTAGTAACCTTTATCGCCTCCAAAATGTCGCCAAACTACCAGTTACCATATTCTAAAGATCAGCCTAAAGGTGTTATCTTAGGAATGCCAACAATATCCCATAATTTTCTTATCTTTGCTTGTAATAACCAAGGAGGTTAGAAGAGAAGGAGGGAAGGTTCAACTCAAACGGTGAAGCTTGGCGGCCATGTTCCTGTTACTTGTGCAAGCAAGTCTGTAATTGCAATATTTTTTTTCTTTTCTTTTTGAAGCATGTCAGCTTGTATTGTATATGGATGTACAAACAGATTTTCGAAAAAGATTCCTGGGATTACTTTTCACGCGTAAGTATTGATTTTCTTTTTTTTTTTATGTAATTTGATAACTATGCTAAAAAATATCACAATGTCATGTTGTTTTCTTTCCAGATGTGAACAAAAGGACTTAATAATAATCAAAATATGTTAAATACATTTTAATGTTTCTCTTTATAGCTGGCATCTTTGTTCCTTAACATACAATGATGTATGCTAGGATTTAAACTGTATAATTTCAATGTTTTAGGTAATTCGTTTGATAATTTTCATGAAAAGAAAGACACCAATTGTTACTATTTTTATGAATTGTAAAGGTGTTAAATAAAGTAATGCTTTCCTTTATGTATTCATTATTATTTAAGTTTTGTGAACTGTTAGGAATATAATTTGTGCATTTGATCAAGATAAACTATCTTTTCTGTTGTTAAATTTTTTTTTTGCATAAATTTACAAATTTGTAGGCAGTATAGCAATCTTTACACAACTGAACGTGTGGAAAGATGTATCCAAAAATATAGGTATATTATTATATAATTTAATTAGGTATAGGTATATTTCTGTAAATCAGCTTAATTCAAGGCTGAATTACAGAATTCTTTGAGATTCATAAATATGAAATGTGCATAAACTGAAATCACTGAATTTACATAAATCTGTTTTATTTTATTAATATTTATTTTCTTGTTGTTATAAGGTTGTTGGTTGTGAAAAGAATTTATATAAAACTTTCATTTTAAAAAAAATGCAACCTGTGACTATTTTTTTAGATAATTATGTGGTATTAATTTCAGGTTAAAATTATTTTAAATGATTCTTTAATAAATTACAATATTGTGAATAAATCAGAAATATCACTTCTTAAAGAAAAATTGGAAAGTACATCCAATCCAACAGGTTGCTAATAAAGCCTAAACAAATTCTTGAAATATGCAGAAACATTATTTTTAAAGGCTTTAATGTTATGCACATGGATTTAGATTTCGAACTATTTCTTAATGATTTTCTGTACGTATCATCAAAGGATATCATCTTTATAACTTTAAAACAAAAAACTAACAATAGTGAAGTATTTCATTATAAATTTTATATATTTTTAGTGGAAAATACATGCACGGAACAGCTTAAAAACACGCATGTTTCACTGCCGTAATGCAATGTTTTGAAGTTACAAACATGGACGCCGCTTGTTCGGTGGAGTTTCATTCCCCGATAGTGGAGGAAACTGCGAACCTCCCTCCTTCTATGCTAACCTCCTTGGTAATAACAGATAAGGGTTATACAAGGGGTACCTTAAAGTCTACTCTACCCCTAAAATTGTATTAAAAAATCAATTTTTTTAATGCGTTCAGAAATGCATGTTTGACAAAATAGTTGTTGCTGCATTATTTTAAGATAATTTTCAGTGCATGTTGCTGTTTCAGAAGATGATGCAAATGCTTATAAAAATGATGCTGGAATAATTGTGAGATACTTCATTTGTGTATCAGTTTTTAGCAAACTTTATATATACAATTTTTTTCATTGGAAAATATTTTTATTTTTTTAATAATATAAGGCAATTTTTTTTATGAAGTTAAATATTGCACTTTGTATATAGTATGTAAAATTGTGTTTTCATTTTTTATATATATATATATATATATATATTTTTTCTTTCAAGGGATTATCCGTATAGATACAATAATCAGGAATCATATAATGAGAATTTTAATGAATATGAGTACAACTATTCTGAAGAAGAATACACTTCTGGAGAAGACCCCATTATGCCATTTGAAGGGGAATTTCAAGATGATATGGAAATTATGAAGAGTATGGGCTTACCTCTAAGTTTTGTAAGTAAAGTGTCTGCTGTTGAGAAAGTAAATATCATACTTAGTATACAATATGTGACTTAAATTTAATAAAAGTAATTATTTAGTTTAAAGTGTTTGGGGATATTTTTTTAAATCCTTTTTATTATGTTTAAGAAATGGCAAAGTATTTGGATGCTTTTTTGTTAATGGAGAACCATTCATCAAATGTGGCAGCCTGTTTACATCATATTGGCAATAGTGTTGTAAGCGAAAACACATTACTGTGTACGTGGAACAAAAGCTTTGTTTGCCTCACATACACAGTGGTGTATATTTGGGTTAATCTTTGGATTATGCGAACTTGGCGAAAATTTGGCGACCAACCCTGCTACAGCAATCTGCTAGTTTTTGTTTGGACGCCATTTTCTTTTCACAAAGTAAAGGCATGCTTTTTTTTTTTTTTTTTTTAACTCAACATTTTTTTCCAACAATCTGCTAGCCGAATTATGCTTATGCTAGAACTTTTATGGAACAAAAGTGCTTAATCATGATGAAGATTAGGTGCGAAGTTGGGACAAAGTGCAGAATCGCCCACTGCTTGTTGCGTTTTTAAGAATTGCAAATACACGGTATCATCCATGTACACGTCGACCTATTTTCACTTAAAAAAAACACCCCAGAATTGCACAAAAATGGCATTGCGCACACTTTTGACTTTATCCATGTACACTGCTAAAGTCCTAGCTAGTAACCTTTATCGCCTTACCAAATTGTCGCCAAACTACCTGTTACCATATTCCAAAGATTAGCCTATTTTTGCTTCAAAGAAAATCAGAGAATTGCACAGTTTGGCATTGCATACATTAAACATTATATTCATGATAATGTTAAAAAGTTATTCCTTTCGAGAAGCCCATGTATTGTTATGGTTGCTGCCATAAGTTAAATCTTGCATCAACATGTTTGTGGTTTGCAATGTTTGGTGTTAAGCGATGGCTTTTTAACAGAAAAGAACTAGGATTTGTAATTGTATAGTTCAAATTGATTTTAAAATTTTTTATATTAAATACAAAAATGAATGTAATTTTTGCATAAAATTACCGGGACTACAAATAAGTCTGCATCCTCTTTTATTTCTTTGTACGAAATAAAAAGGAAGTATTGTAATCGTGAAAAGTTTCAGGCATCATATTTCAACGAAAATATCCATTTTCACCACTATCGAATGCAATTTAATGATGTTTTTGCATGACATCTGTACATAAGGACAAAATAAAGGACTCTTTTTCCCTTAAAAAAAAAAAAAAAAAAAAAATGATTTAAAATGAATTTTTAAGAGAATTTTTCGAGGCATCTGTGCGTACGTACGTATGTATATCACATAACTTAAAAACGAGTAGCCTCAGAGCGTTGAAATTTTGTATATAGGACCGCTATAATGTGTAGATGTGCACCTCGTATTTTGGTTGCAATCGGCAGCGCCAAAAGTATATAAACATATGTATATATATGCAAAAGATAAGAAATATGATGGCTTTGCTCTACTCGAACAGACAACCTCTAATTAACTTTCCGCAATTTCAGGATCTTCCCCCTAGACCAGTATTTTCGAGCATGTTATGTAATCACTCCTATAAATGAAGAATTCATGCCATTTTGCATCAGAGACTGTTTTCTCCTCTTGTTGCTACCAGACCTTGGTGCTGCTTTTCCCCTCTTTTAGAATATTTATGACGCAGAAAGTCTAAATTTAATCTTACTTGGCTTAAATCACTATTGAATGTGTAATTTGGAGAATTTCTTCTAAAGTAAAAATGGTCTACAGTGAGAATTGAAATAGAGATACAGTCAAAAGTCGTTAATTCGGACACCCATAATCCGGAATGATCTATAATCCGGACCTCAAAGCTACAAACTTTCTGCGCATGCGTCGCGTTCACGCATGCGCACAGGCATTTACGAGAGCGCGTAAGACCCTTACGGCTGCGAATATGTTTGTGCGCATGCGCAATTAAATTGTAACGGAGTTATACGCTAAGCTAAAGTTATCTAATTCAGTTAATGTTGCCGATTGCGTTGTTCCTTAATCTTCGAATTGGATCCGGCTTATTATTTTTTGCAGACTGTTAGAGCAATTTTATAAAAGTAAGCTTGAACTTTCGATTATGTCAAATAGAATTTCCGATATATATTTACTACAAAGCGAAAGTATGTTTTGAAATCCGAAATCTGTTTATCAGTTTCACGCTGCTCTGCGGCAGAGGGGGGGGGGGCAGCAGAACGAAACGTCATTATTAGATTATGATAGATTATAAAGATTATGTCAAATAGAATTTCCGATATATATTTACTAGTATGTAATTTGTATCTACAAAGCGAAAGTATGTTTTGAGATCCGAAATCTGTTTATCAATTTCACGCAGCGGATTGGAAGTTGATCTGTCAGCACTATCCTTATCTTCAGGGCAGATGTTTTTTATTTGGTTTATAATTCCATACTAAGTGTAGTATTTCATTCTGTCTTTGATATGATTTAAATCAAGTTCATCGTCATTATAATTCGCTTCCGATAGTGAAGAAAGTGACCCAGAGGTTATTGAAAACGAAAACATTTCGATTGACAAATTAGTCGGTATTCTCAACACAGCAATTATAGGACTTGAACAGCGGAACTTTGTAAATAAAGAAGAAATTATGTCTGTTTAATAGAATTAAAGAGAAAGTATTATCACATGAAACAAAGCAACTTACATTGAAGGAAATTTTTAATAAAGTAAACAAATAAATATTAAGCTTTTTCTTTTTGTAAATTTTGATACCCTTTAGATCATAATTGTTCTTTATTTCATAAATTACGTTTCATATTTTTAATTTTGTGATTTCTGCATGCCATCTTACCATATTTAAACTGATGATCTATAATCCGGAAAAATCGATAATCCGGAATCGCCGAAGTCCCGACGAGTCCGGATTAACGACTTTTGACTGTACAAAGTTGCGTTCAATAAGTGCTAGGAAACTAGTTGTTTTTTTCCATCTCATTTCATAGTGTTGCAACTTTGTACAGAGTTTATTGGATAGTAATTCAGGCCATAATTATCGCTTATCAGCTGGTTGCTGTATTTGTGAGTCAACAAGAATTTGCAATATTTATATATTATCACTTTTAGTTATATTACCGCAAGTAAGGGATATCAAAGTTCTGTGTTAGATTTCACTTCTGAATTTTATCTTGTGTTTCATAGTAAGCATTTAGAGAGGTGACAACTTAACAACTATTAGAGTTAACTTCTTAAAGTCGACCATTAGACTTTTAATAACAAACAATTTCTGTTAGTTAAACACTTTTAGAAGTTACCATTATCCCTAATTTGGTATTTATTGTTCTCAACACAAATATGTATACAACAAAAGGGCATTAACATTGCATATTAATTTCATCTCTACTGTTAAATGAAAGTTTGTTGACAATAAAATAATAGTATACAAAGAAGTAACTTTTGCAAAAGTTTCACTTCCCTGCCTGTTCACCATTTCTGACAGAATTCATAAAATCAATCATAAGAACAAATAGTGATGGAAAAAACTTAGAAATTTATAAGAGTTACGACTATTACATTAAAAAACATAAAAAAGGAGCTGTGTAATATATCTCTGATGACAGGAAATGTGATAAAAATTTAACCATTTTCACACTTAGATGTATTAGTAAATGCTTCTTTTAAGAATAAAATAAAATAGATAAAAGTGGGAAAATATCAGTATTTAGAAAATGCCCCAATTTTATAAATTTTTAGTTCAAAAATCTAAATTCTATTGAAACAATCAAGTTAAACATTTATAAAGATTCTTTTACCTTTTTTTTTATCAAAATTTTCAAAATATTGCTCATTTAAATAGTTTTCCAAAAAAAGAAAGGTTTCTGAACATAGTTGAATACTTTAGAATTTAACTAATACAGTCAAAAGTCTTTAATCCGGACTCGTCGGGACTTCGGCGATTCCGGATTATAGATCATCAGTTTTAAATCTGGTGAGATGGCATGCAGAAATTATAAAATTAAAAATATGAAACTGTAATTTATAAAATAATGTGCAATTATGGTCTAAAGGGTATCAAAATTTACAAAAAAAGAAGCTTAATATTTATTTGTTTACTTTATTAAACATTTCTTTCAACGCGCGCATGCGTAAAGCATACATTACGCATAGTCGAAATTAGAAAATTGCAACCAGAAAACTATTTGATTTGTATTCGTGATATTTATAATGACGAGGAATTTGATTTAAATCATATCAGAGACGGAGTACATCGAGATGAAATACTACATTTATTAAGGAATTATAAGCCAAATAAAATAAAAACATCTGCCCTGAAGATAACAATAGTGCTGACAGATCAACTTCCAGTTCATTGCGTGCCGTGCCGCGACATCCCCCCACCGCGCAGAGCAGCGTGAAATTTATAAACAGATTTCGGAACGGTTAGATAAACAAAGGATATGCCATTATCCATTTTTTGTAGCAATTCCACTTTTTGTTTGATGGACATCGTTCGTTTTTGTTTTGTAAATCCTTTGGGAGCTCCAGCATCGGAAATTCTATTTGACATAATCGAAAGTTCAAGCTTACTTTTATAAAATTGCTCTTACAGTCTGCAAAAAATAATAAGCCGGATCCAATTCGAAGATTAAGGAACAACGCAATCACCAACATTAACTGAAATAGATAATTAGATAATTTTAGTTTATACCGTCCGTTATGCATTAAACGCACACGCGAAAACGTATTCTGCACTTGCGCACACGCATATGCGCAGCCGTAAAGGTCTTGCGCGCACGCGTAAACGCCTATGCGCATGCGCAGAAAGATTTTAGCTTTGAGGTCCGGATTATAGATCATTCTGGATTATGGGTGTCCGAATTAACAACTTTTGACTGTATTCCTAATTCTTCTTGACAAGCTATTAATTCTAAAACCCAGTTTCTTCCTCCTTCCATTATTAGGTATTATTTCATTAGAATGCACCTTGCAAATTGCTAACTCTGCATTTATGATGTTAGCATCTGTTTTGTAAGCAAGTATAGGCATAAACAAATAACCCCCATTTTCCGCTTATGATTACTGGCTCCAAGGACAGTAAAATGAACAATATTTTTGAGTCCTTTGGAGAGATGTGAACTTGCCTTTGGAAGGGAAATAAATTACCGTATTTGACGGCATATAAGACGCACCCTTATTTAGACGGCCACACACAAAGAAAAAAAGTTTCAATAGCGTGGTTTCTTTTAGTTCTCATGTTTCGTAAAAGCCAAATAAACAATTATTGAATGCAATTACCTTCACGTATAAGACTGTGTCCTTCACGTATAAGATGCAGGTAACTTTTTTGAGACCAAATTTAGGAAAAAAAGTGCGTCTTATATGCTGTCAAATACGGTACTATGACATTAAGGTAGCAAAAATGATTTTTGAGTTTCTGTGTGTCATCAAACTTGTTTTGTGAGTTTATAAAATTCCATTGCTTATTGCAGTATGTATTTTATATTATGTAAACTTTAATCCATGATTATTTAAATTTTTTGTTTGTTTAGGGAAGAAAAAAGCAAAAGAAAGAGAAACAGAGAGATTCTTCAGATATTTATACCTCAGACAGTAATATTGAAAATAGTTTAAAAAATAGCGATATGGATTGCATGATTCCTGCACGTGATATTTCATCTGACAATATTGACGCTGAGTGGGAAAAGTATTGGGCTCTGCATGGTGAAACAATAGTTTTAAATAGCTGGATTCAAAAGTATAAAGATTATTTGAATCCAGATTATTTTAAGAATGCTAGCATTCCTTTTAATCTCAATAACATGAGTGATCAGTTTCAAGCAATGACATTCAATGATAACATTGTTGAAACTTCTGAAAATGTTAATGATGAGCACTGTAGTCTTAGAAGTAGTTTGGTGAAAGAGGATATAGATTCTGTGCAGGCTAATATTAAAACTGATGTTAGTGAAAATAAAAATAGTTCTGGAGACACTTTAAATGGCAGTGAACACAGAGATGACACTAAAAACTCTGATTCAAATGGAATAAGTAATGAATTTTGTAATTCAATTATGAATAATGACTCTGAATTTTTAGAAGTAATAAACTCACTTAAATTAATGAATCCTTATATGGAAGAAAAAGAATATGGCAACAGTAATGGAAAAGAATATGACAACATGTTTAAAATAACAAAGCCATTAGAAGATGTCAAAGATGCCGACTCTATTTCAGAAGCAATGTGGGCTGAGTTATGGGATAAGCATAATCAGGAACAACATGATTATCATTATAAACTATTTAAAGATGAGTATTTGAACAAAAATTATATTGATGGCATAACTGAAGACTTTCATGCTGTCGAAGAGAACTGTAATTCCGAGATGTGTAATGTATGTGATGAGAAGTACTACATTAATAAATGTGACTTTTGTGGGAAACAGAATTGTGATTTTTGTATTCCACGTGACTGTGAACAATACTATGATGACTGTTATGAATTACCTTTAAATCAAGATGTTGCAAATGATATTAATAACATTGTATTAGATTTACCTAATTCTGATTGTGAAACAAACCAAAGCATGGATTTGCACGAAAAAGATTTAATTCCACCTGAAAGTAATCTTATATCAGATAAGCCTATATTTACAGGAAGCATTTCAGGTGAATCACTTGAAATCACAAGAACTGCAGATGATAGTGATGATGGGCCTTTAGAAATTCCGACAAAAATCAAGAGAAAGTAAGTAAAGTAATGGTGCTGTTCTGTTCAGGACCAAATTCATAAATGTATTTGCATGTGTGTATGTATGTATGTGCATATCTATGCATGTATACACTCAGTTGCGTTCATGCTTACATATATACATGCATACATTGAACGTATACATCAATACATGCATACATTGAATGTGTACATCAATACATGCATACATTGAACATGTACGTCTATACATGCATACATTTAACGTGTACATCTATACATTTCTGGATCCAGTCCTGATAACAGAACAGTACCAAAATACCTTTTCTAACCAACTGCTTATTTAAATTGCTGCATTTTATGTCTGTGTGCTTTTTTTATGCTAAACACAATGTTTTTCTTTTCTAAAATAACACAATGGTTTTTCAGAAGTTGAAACAACTTCTGAACATCTGGTATTTTTGCTGAATAATTCTTAAAAATTAGTATATGTGAAGATTTTGGAAAGAAGGTTTAGCAAAGTGTTATTTCAGAAATAAATTGCAAACAAAATAATACAAAATGCTTTTATTTATGTAATATAAAATTCTTTTATTTCATAGATGCTTAAGTGTTACCTTTATAAGCAAGACTTTATTAATTCTGGCCTTCTGAAATTTAGTGTGTGTGCAAAATTTTACTAATTTCTAAACTCCAACAAGGAATATTTTTTCTATTTCTCATAATTTATTATATGCTGTTGTATTATTTTTAATCATTAATACAGTGTACTAAGTGAAGACTTACTGTAAAGAAGTATCTATTCTTGGCTAGTTATTTCGGCATCAAAAGCTGAGCAATTTCCTCCCCCTCCACACACACTCATTTTATAAGCTGAAAAAATACTAAAAAATCATTACTTATCTATAAAAAACTTTCATAAAATGATAGTTGTATATGAATATATGTTTTTTTTTCAACAAAACTGATATGTTTCTGTAGCAGATTTACCAATTTTTGTGCAGAATTTGACATTTATGGTTCTTACAAAAGAATATTTATAATTATTCCAAACAGAGACCAAAATTCAGTACAAAGTCCGAAATCTGAACTAGTCGGGACTTTGGCAATTCCAGATTTTAGGTTTTTCCAGATAATAGATCATCGATATAAATCTGGTAAGATGGCATGCAGGAATTAAACAATTAAAAATATGAAATCGTAATTTATGAAATAAAGAACAATTATGATCTAAAGGGTATCAACATTTACAAAGAAAGCGTAATACTTATTTTTTAAATTTATTAAACATTTCTTTCAATATAAGTTGTTTAAGATGCTTCCACAAAAAATTCAAAAAGTTCTTTCTTTTTTCTTGTGTCGTATACAGTGGACTTTCCAATGTCATACTCCTCGCATAATTTTGAGACAAATATGCCTTTATCCATTTTTTGCAGCAATTCCACTTTTTGTTTAATGGGCATCGACTGCTTTGTAGATCCTTTGGCAACTCCAGAATTGGAAACTCTTTTTGACATAATCGAAAGTTCAAGCTTAGTTTTTATTTTTATAAAAAGTTTACTTATTTATACTTTATTTTTATAAGAAGACTTTATTTATACGGGATGTTTAGAAAAGACTTATTATTAGACTTGATTTGTTATATTTAAAATATTTAATAAAATATAATAATAAGAATAATATTTAATAATAAAAATAAAGTTATAATTATTATTAGACTTTATTTTTATTTTTATATTTATTTATTGTTATACTTTTTTTATAAAAAGTTTACTTAAATTTTTATAAAAAGTTAACTTAGTTTTTATTTTTGCCATAATAATAACAGTCTTCAAAACATAATAAGGTGGATCAAATTAGCAGCACAGTCTGCTACATTAATTAAAATGCCTTAGAATCAGTAAAGATAATTTTAGCCTAGCTTAATAGCATCCATTATACATTATTGGTTGTGTATCACAAGATTGGCGACAAAAGTCAAGTTATTTCGCTAAATTTTGTCTTGCTCCTATTGCGTACTGAATTAAACCTGAATTGTATTAGTTTAGTTATTTACTGTACCTATGTTTTTCTTGCACATGCTTCAAACTGATTCGAGTCCTGAATAAATAAACTCACACATATAATATACTTAATGCTTTATCTAGGGCCCGCGCTAAATACCGCATGGTGCAGTCTCTACGGGTCCTAAATTCTGCTACAAAATGCTTTCCTAAGTTCTAAATTTTCACCGTGTCTAAACTTTGGATCCCAGTGCTTTCCCTAAATCATAAAAACTTCTCATCCCTTAAATTTGCCACTCGGTGCTTCCCCAAATTCCAAAAATTTTGTCTTTTCTAAATTCTGCCATCCGGTGCCGACATATTCTGCTGCCGCTTCTGGGTTTAAGGTGAATAATATATCAGTTATTCTTAATTAAAGTAGCACTAAATGTGATCTTTAGGCCTATGCATTTCATTAACAAAATCCATTTTTAGCATACGAAAAGAAATTTTTGTTGAATTTTTCCTCGTCAACATTTCTTAAAACATTTAAAAATCTATAATCATTGCCAAGCATAATGTTAGCATAAAAGGTTGCCATACTCTTGTGATTCAATTACTAATATAAAAAAAGTTTAGTTTAAAGTTATAAAAAAAGTTAGTACAGCATGAGTTATTACTGAAGCTGTCATGTATTGATAAACATGCGTTGATGCAAGCAAAGTATAATAAATAATGACTCGCCAGGTCGGCGTCAGGGATTTAAAATAGGTGAATGTTTCGGTTTGAGATGTATGCCAAGTAGATACTCAGCTATGGAGCTAAATTATTAATCTCACAAATTTATGCTTACATTATTGTTTTTCCATAACGAGGTATTTTATTTAGTGCCTAACTAAAATTAAAAATCTGAATTTTTAAGTGAAAATCTCCACATGTTTTATTATGGAAAGAAAAATCAAATGCGCATGTGTAAAGCATTAATAAAAAAAATGTTTGTGTCTTTGAGGTCCGGATTTTAGATTATTCTGGATAATGGACATCCGGATTTCAGACTTTGTATTGTATATACCACTTTAGACAAAGCTTATTGCTAAACAAAATACTACACGCAAAAAAAAAAAAAAAAAAAAAAAAAAAAAATTGCTAATTGCATATTCAATTTGCTATATCGAAATCACACACAGTGAGCCACACTGCAGAAAATACTCAATCCAGTTACTTATTAGATACATCTTGTATGCCATTTAAGACAAACTGATTCTGTGAAAAATGTTGCAGTTTTCTTTATTATTAAAAATTGGTGTCCTACTACTTACTGGCTTTAAAATAATTTTCTAAAATAGTTAATTTGGTACTATGGCATTAATTGTCCTATATGCAGCTGTCAGTTTTGAGGAGAACACCTTAGGATGCAGTTTGAGGATCTCCCTGCACTCCCTAATGACAACCACTCAAGAGACCTTTGTGCAAAATATGTATTTTGAGTATATTTTCTCCTTGATATACTTTTGGATGGTTATGGATTAAACAATTTTTTTCCTAATATTTTGGAATGGGCTTTTTTCGTAACTGCTATGCATTGTCCTTCTAAATTATATAATCGTCAAGTTAATTGTAAAGAATTTATATTTAATTTTGCTTAAAGCATTATATAATTATCTTCATGCTCAAATGCAGAAAGCAGGGTGTGTTTGGGGAAGTAAAAATGACTCGCTTCTTGATTGTTATTGCCTGGTATCTTATGTTTTTCTTCTCTAAATATTACTAAATATTATTTCTACTTTTAAATTTTCCTGTATTATTCTTTCTTTTAATTTTTCTGTCATCTATACTATTAAAATTTGTGCGTGTCTGTTTGTTTGTGGCTATCATCTTCTCCAGAACGGCAGGAGTTGAGTCTTAAGAGAGGTACTCGTGGATTCCAAAAATTCGTAGAAAGCTAGTTCGACCATTCTCATATTCTTATGTCTTTAATCATCTGAGATATTAAAAACTCTGAAAACTCTAATTTTCACACTAATTTTTCTGAGTGGCAACAGTTTCGTTATGGAAATAAAAATCTTTATTTCGAAAAGTGTTGCCACTGCTCCCTTTCAAATCATAGAGTTTGTTAATAAAAAATGTCTTAGTTAGAAAGAATGTGACATCATACGCCAACAATTTTTCGTCAATGTCGTCATTTTAAATAAATATCTGCCATTAGTAACCTTTTTGCTTCAGGTTAGGATGATTAATATGATATGTTATTGCCATGTTAATTCTTTTAATCATATTGAGAAAAAGCTGTTATATTACATTAAATTTAAATCATGATATCGTACACATATGTCAAAAGTGTTTGTTTTCTAGTTGGCAGGGAAAATTATTTACAAATTGGTTGTTGCTTGGAAAGAATGAACTAATTTCATTCATATTGAAATGTTTTTATACATTTTCTTTTCAGGTGTATATAGAACTTAAAAATTTTGCTTTGACCACAGCCCACTCATCTGGTGGGCTTGCCCGCTAGTTAGAAATAAAACCTGCTATGTGAAAAAATATAACAGACTATAGAAAACTGTGTTAATGATTTCTTTTCAATTTTTGACTTATATTAAAGTATGCAATATAAAAATTGATGACATTTATAAACAATTTTATGCAATTCTCTAAGAAATAGTAACCCCCCCTAAAAAAAAATCTAAAAGAATATCACTAGAGAATGTAAACGATAACCATAACAAAAAGAACTGCGGGGGCAACTTTCCTTGGGGGATTATCGTCCTGCAAATGCTTCTGCTTTTGCCTTTAAATGTTTGTTGAAGAATGAAGGAATAACAAATAACCTTTATTCTATAACCTGTTAATTTTTTTTATGCAGTAAGATAATTACCAATATAATTAAGATAAAAAAATCAGGTAAGCAATGCATGTGCTGCTTACCTGATTTTTCATTTGAGATACTTGCTTATGGTGAAAGAGTTCTACATTTAGAAAATATTTCTTTATTATTTTAGATGTGAAAGTGAGAGTGATGAAAGTACAAATGAACCTATAGATTATTTGAAGGACTTGGGATTAGTTATAAGACCAAATGAATCATTAAGGTAACTTTCAGTCATTTGGTATTTTAATAACTGTTGGACTTTCTGATTATCCGCACCCCCGCTGAAAAGTCATGCAAAAGTATTTCATGAGGTTAAACAATATGTTGTCAGAATAATTCTATGGCAGCACAGTCATGTGCATAGTATGTGTTCATTTTTCTTATTGCACAGTATCAGATTTGTGCAATTCTCTGATTTTTTTAAGCAAAAACAGATTACTGTGTATGTGATGAGAACAACAGTACCCTCCGAAAAAAGAGGGTTTTTTTTTAGAAAAAGATAAGTGTTTTATGATCCATGTTCCATGGTTTTTTTAAGTTTTTTATTTTATTTTATTTTATTGCTCATTTAATGCACTGCCTATTTGAAAACAGCTCTTGCCATTTGTGCATTAGCATAAATTAGGCCAAAAACTAATCCACAAATGTTCTCCTAAGTCACCAATGAGTTTGCAACTTTTTGATGGATTATGCGGATAATTATGAAATACCTAACTTTTTAAATCTAATCCGATTTCACTTATTTTTAAAAAAATCTATTTCATTAATAATAATAATACAGTAAAAGCATGACTATTTGGTATAAGCATGACTAATCAAAAAGCTCAAATAATCAGAATATTTTAGAATTTTAGAAAAATAAAAAAATTTGCCCCAAAAATTTAGTAAATGAGAGAGATTTGTAATGGCATTATTTAGCTTCTTATGAGTACACTGGTGAAGTAAATTTAGTGAATTTGCATATTTTATCGAATTGCATGAAAAGATCTGAACTGAAGGAAAAACCACTGCTTCTAGATAAAAATGCAAATCTTGTACAGCAAATATGTAAGCGTACGTGTGTGTATAGGCGGAGCCAGCAGAAAAACAGGCTTTATAAGCACGGGGAGGGTAAGGTGAGTTGCGTTTGCTAGCACACCTTGGCAATTTTCTTGGTATTATCTTGCAGCAATCGGCTAAATTCACATTAGAACAGTAAAAAGGAATAACCACCAACGTTTAGATGATGGAATGAGGTGGCGAATAGTGGTGAGGCTAGAGGCAGGCCAATCACAAGTCCAGATATGTAGAAAGTTTAATTTAACACCCAGTGCCATATGTAACCTATGGAAACAGTTCCAGGATACTGGATCCATCGAGAGAAAGCCTGGGCAAGGTTGACCAAGATCCACGACGGCCAGAGAAGATCGCTTTTTGTCCATTTTAGCGAGGCATAATGGGCTACAGCTTCTCAGCTCTCTTGGGACCTGTATGCAGTGACAGGGACCCGTGTAACAAGGGTGACTATTTCCAAAAGATTGAATAAGAGAGGGTTGTTTGCCAGAAGACCGGCTGTTTGCGTTCCGCTCAAGTCTACAAACAGGAGAGTCCAATTAGCATGGTGCGGGCAGCATAGTGATTGGAATACAAAGCTATGGGCGAACATTCTGTTCACCGACAAGTCCCGTTTTAGCTTAAACACGATTCTCGCCATACTTTATATGGAGAGACCCAGGACCCGCTAACTACCCTCCAATATCCGCAAAGTCAACAATTATGGTAGTGGCAGTGTAATGGTCTGGGCAGGCATTCATGTTGGATGGCTGCACACCTCTCCACGTTTTTGACAGAGACTCTGTGACTGATGTGTGGTATAGGGATGAGGTCTTGGAGCCCTATGTTTGCCTTTACCGGGGTGCAGTGGGCCCCGAGTTCATCTTACAGGACGATAATGTGAGGCCACATAGAGCTCTTCTGATTGACGAATTTCTCAAAAGTGAGGATATTCGCCGGATGGATTGGCCAGCCAGGTCTCCAGACCTCAACCCTATACAGCATGTCAGGGATGCTGTGGGGAGCACAATTGCAACTCGCAACCCCCCAGAACAATCCAGGAACTGAAAATGGTGTTGCTGAATGAGTGAGACCAATTGCCACAGGCACTGATAAACTTATGTCCAGTACTATTTCCAGTATGACATCATACTGTGAGGCCTGTATGGCTGTAAGAAGGGACCATACCCCCTATTGACCCATTTCTTTTATGTCTTCTGCAACTGCTGTTTCAGACCTTCAGACTCCCATGAGTGTTACACATGAACATATGTGTCTATTATAACAGTTGAATGTTTATTTTGTGTGTATTCTATCAACCTATGTTCACACCAAATTTTTTAAAAATCTGTCCAGTAATTCTGGAGATCGTAGACCAAATATGAAAATTCTCTTAATTTATTTCACCAGTGTATATACATATATGTTGCTGCCAAGCAGTATAATTTAATATAATAACCAATAATAGATAAGCATAATGTCATAACACAATCATAAGAAGTTCATTTTTTGGTTTAACCCTCTGAGTGGCATAGGTTTTTGGATTTGTTCTGATGACCTGTATTTATGCAGCATTTATTCGCTAAATTTATATAATTACTTATTTCTGCATCTATTTTCATAAATTTACATTCATTAAGATCACATTTACAGGTACTATTCTGTTTTGAGGACCGTAAAAAATTGCTGCGAAAATGTATGCGCAAAAGCGCTAAATCTTGCAAATGCACCCATTTAACAGCGTGCCAAATCTAGCTTACGCACTGATTTCAAATTGCGTAAGTTTAGAGATGCCATTGAAATACTAGTTTAATTTTTAAATCCTTTATTTGATTTTAAATCATCCTATAGGTTTGAGATTTGCCCATGACGAAAAGTCTGCAATAGAATTTTTTCAAAGAAAAGGCATCATTCATTATAGAAAATTATGTTTGAACAACTAATGAGATGAAATTGCTTTAGCGATAACTCGGTAGCTAAATAGCGATGCAAAATTCATTCAGTTATGTTTAGCTGTTTTTTATATAAATTATAATAATGATCTGAAATAGTTATTTACTCTTATGCTTCCATTCAGTTATGTTTAGCCTTTTTTTATATAAATTATAATAATAAAAAGTATGGTGCTACTTTGGTTATATGAAATTAACCTTTCATATAAATTAAAACAATAATCTTTAAATAGTTATTTACTATTATACTTCCTTTCTTGCGTTAGGGTTGCCACGATTATTTTTTTCAGCACTGGCATCAACAATGGTTTGGCGATTTTTCGCGGTCCTCAAAACGGAATAATACCCATTTATATTATTAAAGAAAGTAAGAAAGCAAAATATTTTAAGTTATACTCTAATATGTATTAAGTGATAAAAAATCTCATTGACTGGATAAAGCTGGTCATGCCACACAGAGGGTTAATCTAAATTCGGTTAGTTCTTGATAAGCTAGTTTAATTTTTGTGAAGAATAATATAAGTTGCATTTTGTCCTCCCAATTTGAAAAAAAACTGATTACAGGGGTTCCCAACCCTGCGCCCGCCAATCGTTTAACGTGTGCCCGCCGCAGTGCAATCACAATAAAAATGTTTTCAATAAAATTCTATCTGAAAGTTTTCTCATTTTTAATGAAATAGAAATTCCGTCCAGCACAAAGTGAAATTCGACTAATCTCTCTCTCTCTCTCTTTTTTTTTTTTTATGTGCATATATTATTAACTCTGTTCACTCCTATGAATTAACTCTAAATAAGTACATGGTGCCTGCTGTCCAACAAATATTATAGAATGTGCTTTTAGGCACACAAAGATTGGGGACCTCTGGATTAATGTTTGAGCTAGCATTTGGTGGAATATCTTCTAATTTACATGATTTAAATTTATTTATATGTTATATCTGTAATTTGTATCTATTTATTGTGTAACTAAATTAAGAATATGTTATGTTCATTTAAACTTCTGCCAGAATGACTGGCAAAATTCCATCTTTCTCATGTTTCAGAACTGAATCTCATGTTTTACTTTTATGTTTAAGGCCTATGAAATGTGTTGAATGTTATATGTCTGAATGAATTACAACCCCCTCCCAATTTTAAATGTAGATGTTTTATGTTCAAGTGGTAATACATATAATAGGATAGTTTTTTATAATTTCAGAGTGAAAACTTTTCTCCATTTATTTGGCTTTCTAATGTGATTTCCACTTTTTATATGTTCAACTGTCTGGAATTTTCATGTTTCCAGAAATCAGCATTTTGTTAGCTTTCCCGATAGTCATGCTCTTATTGTACTGTATTTTTAATTTAAATCTTTTATTTTTAAATGTTTTTATGTAACACTTTTTATGCTGTTATAAAAATGCAATTTTAACGAACTCTTTTGCAAAAATTATCAAATTCAGAAAGCATCTATCGGTGTTTAATCAAGTGCAAGTATGAAAATTTATTAAACAAATAACTTCTTTGGACAGTTTTATTATTTAGCAATGTACTTGATATTGATCAATATGTTATAAAGCCTGTTCTAGCTGTGATGTATGTCACTAGATAGCTTAGTAGGGAGAGAGACAAATTCTTGATATCCTCTCAAAAATGTTAATCATCATTTTACAATTGCTGTGTAATTAGATATTCTGTAATGGTTCAGCATGTCTTGTATGTGCTGATGTGCTCAACTAGCAAGAAATCTGGTGATGTTGATGGCCAAAGAAGAGTTTGCAGAGAAGTAGATATCATATGGGGTCATGCAATTATCCCTTCGAAAAATGTCATCCTACAATTATGATATGAAAGGTGACATCATTACTTGCAAGATGCCATTTGTATGATGGTATGAATAATAGTAATGGGTGATTTGCTGTTGTAGAAAATAACATTTCAGGGCAGAATAATCATTGTATGCCACTGAAAAATAGTTAGTTTGAACCTGATGTTATGATTGTTTCCATACCTGAATGCAACTGTAATTTGCAGCCATGCTAAAATAAGATTTATTACTAAAGTGATTTCAGTCTGTGATGATTCATGAATCTGGAAACTGAAATTAATGCCTCTACCTCTACAAACACCATGAAATGGTGAAAAGAGATTCAGATGCACTGATAAATGATAAGCCACAACTTTTTGTTGTGGATTCTGACACTGTTGTCATGTTGAAGGCTATGGAATCTTTCTGTATAGTCGTACTTTTTCATTGTTTTAAGCCCACCAGCGACCAAGTGGTAAAGTCGCTGAACACTAGTAGTTCGGTCAGAGATTTGAATCTCATGAACGGGCTGGCTGCATAGGTGCTTTCATGGTTTTCCCCATGTGTAACGTGTATATGAGCCAGTTTCCCTTAGAAAGTCCTCCAGGAAGACATCCTTCCCCTTAGGCAGATAGCCCTCGAGGCTTTGCCATAATTAAATAACCTAACCTAACCTATCATTGTTTCAAACCTTCCTGATGCTAATGAGATTGGCTATAAATAATCGCTGCAGCTATATCCCAAAATAGGATCCGTATAGTCCAGATGGTGAACTATTGTAGTAGAATTGACTTTAATTTAGATTTTTAGTTAGACTTTGTAATTCAAACACACTGACAGCTAATTATGGAATTTTAAACTGATTTTTATTTCAAGTAATTAAAATATGTTGAATTAATTAGTAAATAACTTCTTTTAACATTAACTGGAAAAACAGAAATTTTAGTTGTCAGCTAGCAAACCAAAATTACTGAGTAGAACAAAAGTTTGGGTAATAACTAGGATAATGTGAGAACCCTAGTCAACAAGCAGTGACAAAACCCCTGTTCTTAGATAGCATGCATAGTTTAGCATAGTAAGAAATAAGATGCGTTTATTAATATTGTTTATTTATTTATTCTTTTAAAGCGAATAGAAACAGTTAGTGCAGCGAGTACATTTTGCGAGTAAGCATTCTTCATATAGTGGAATATATCAGTTGCTGATTCTCAGAAACTATACATTATTTCCAGTTGCCAGATTTTACATTTAATAGATTAATATGATAAATGCATACTAACAAACATGCAATGGGAAAGTGCTCCATCAGCCAAACGATAAAGTTACAAGTACGGAACATCCCACCCAATGTTGAAATATTACATTATTTCAAAATTAAAGAAACAAAGTATGAATATAAACTTACAATGACACAATTTACAACAAATATACTAATTAATAATTCAATGAGAACAAAATAAATTAACCAACAGTGGAAATATCATTATCCATAATAGGTAAAATGCAAATTTTTGAAATACTAAAGTTACTAGTTTATTTCCAGCCAGCAGAACAACTGGATGTTACAACTGAAATTTAAATCTGAATGTAAAAGTCTATCGTCAACTCTTGTTAATCCGTTAGATGGATGTAAAAAAGTGTTCAAATATTTAAAAGCTTACTCATATTTGGAACTGAAGATCCCATTTCTAAAGCTGATATTTCTGCAGGAAAATACTTTACCTGTAGGTGTTTTAACAAATAATTTTCAGCTCTTTCATATTCTTCACATGCAAGTTCTCCGGTATGTGTTTTAGGAGACTTGCACCTTCTGCAAAATCTAAAAACAAAGCTTTATTTTAGTTATGAATGTTAGCTTAGTTTATGAGTTTAGTTATGAAAGTTAGCTTAGCTTTAGTTTAGTTTGCTTATATGAAAATTGTTACTGGTATTAAATAAGCTATCAAAAAAGGAGTCATTGTTTAAACTTAATATTACTTAAGAAACAGTCTTGAGTTCATCAGTATAAAGTTCGTCAGTTGAACTACTGGGATTTTGCACAGTCTCAGGAATAGGTAAATTTAATTTTGAAAAAAGTCTGGTCGTTTCCATCAAAGTTCACTAGCACCAAGTGCTTTAACTTCCAGTCGTCTGGAGATCATGTATGCTGGGTTGAATTCTGAAGGAATATGATGTCATTCGAAGGCTTTAAATATCTGCTGGATTTGTGATACTTGGTTGCTTACAAATGTCTTGAACAAACTTGATGGAGTCTTGATCCATTATGGCTAAAGCTTTTAAAAGTGAAGGAAAGTTATCGTTTGATGTTTCTAATCATTTGGCTTCTCCCTTTAAAGCCATAAATAATGAAGCTTTCCATTTTCAGAAAGTACTGGATTTTCTTTTATTAAACTATTAAAATTGAGTCTTAAACAAATTCCATACTTCAAATTTTCCACTAAAATTCGGAAGAGGAAATTTGGCAGTTTTACTAAAGCGCTTTTAAATTGATCATTACATACAGAATAATTTTCTTGTGTAAGGCTGTCAATATTTTGATTTGTTACAGAGTCATAAGTTTATTAATAGTGGTTTTTAGACTTATCTCTAATTTTTGAATATCCTCATCCACTTGAGACAGCAAAACTTCTGCTTCTTCAAACTCGAGTATTCTGTAATAATCGTTTTTCAGCAATTCAAACTTTTCCTGAATATTTACCACCGTATGCATATGAGCTTGTAGCTGCACGATATCCGGTTCATTTTGCTTTTCTGCTTCTGTTAGCATTTGAAATCCTTGTTAATTGTCCTTCGAGGTTTTCACATTTGTGATATCCATAGTCATTCTTTACTTTTTATTCCAAACTGATAGCATTGAATCCATAGGTTTAGGTTCTTCTGCAGTTGCAGCAGACCAAAATATGCTAGTTTAGCGTAGTAAAAAGTAAGATGCTTTTATTAACAATATCGTTTATTTATTTATTCTTTTAATGAGAGTAGGAACAGTTAGTTCAGCGAGTACATTTTGCAAGTAAGCGTTCTTCGCGTAGTGGAATACATCAGGCCTCAATTCTCAAAAACTATACGTTATTTCCAGTTGCCAGATTTTACATTTAATGGAATAATATAATAAATGCATAAACACAAAATTGCAATGGGAAAGTGCTCCATCAGCTAAACGATAAAGTTACAAGTATGGAGCAGCCCCAAGCCTACTCATTCTATTTTCCCATCTTCAGTAGCAGTTGTGCACATAAGCTCAGTCCATATCTTTATCTCTAAAACTGTAAGCACCGTATTTGTATTATTAAATATGTGATTAAACTGTATTGGCAGGCTGCATAAAATTGCTTTGGACACCAAATGTTACCTGTCAGTTTGAGACCACAGATGTAGGTAGTTAGCATGTTCAATTCGTAGCAAATGAAAGATCCCCGTTTCGAATCCTGCAAGTGACACTTGATTTTTCATATTTCTTGTTTCTTAAAATGTAATATTTTGAAAAGTTTTCAGGTGTTAAGCTGTTATTTGATTGTAAATTTTTCTGTCAATATCTTGTAAGAAAGGTAATGAATGCTGATTTCACTTATGGCCTGCACCGAATTTCGCTATTATCTCTGTTAGTTTTGTCAGGCAGTTAATTTAAATTTTTCAATGTTTAGAATTTGTCAGAGTGTTGTCTGTGATCATCCATATTTCTAATCAAGCTATATGTGTAGGTATTTTCCATGAAATTTTGTAGTCATGATACGTGCTTGAAACTGTAGTACTTCTAAACCTGAACTTTGAATACAGTTTCATAGGTGAGGTGATTCATCACTGGTACCTGCAGTCAAGGCTCCTTCAGGTTTCTTGTTTTGATTTGCTAAATTCACTAAGAAGTGCATATAATCACTACATAGTGTTTTACAAAATCTATCAAGCACATCCTGTTACTGAAGATACCATTTATTGCATATACGTAGTTAGAATAAAAATAACTTCTATAATTTTTCTGATTCATGAATATTTAGTCCAAACGGGCTTTGTCCTTGAAGGACTATTGTTTTCATTTTGTGATTTTGCGTTGATTCACTACAAACGACGAATCACTTTTCAAACTGTTGCCACAAACATCACCCTGTGTTCTATTTAAAGAAATTAATTTATGAAAAATCTGCATAAATGTATGTATATTTCTTGCATTGTGATAAAACAATGGTACATAGAGCCAGTGAATTTTGGATGACGTAATCCTTCTACAAATATGGGTATGTGGAAGACCAAATTTGATATTTGGAATTTGTTTTATTATCAATTTCCTATTTTATAAAACTTTAAAGAATTTTTGATTAACAAACTCAAGGATTTCAAGGCAAGAAAGGCAACATTGTACAGAAAAAACTCTTTTTATCTCCAGCGCACAGAACTGTGTATCGGAAATTCTAAAGATATGCTCATTTTAAAATTATTTTGCGACATTGCTATTGAACTGAATTTTATGGTTTAAATGCAAATAACATGATATTTAATAAATAAAGGTAACATGCAAAATGTTAAAAAAGCACCTTTGGATGTAATTTAAAATCTGAAACCTTTCATATTTTTTTTTTAAATATTGAAATCAGTGGCTTATGCTTCTGTTTGGCATCCCTGGATTTTGAAGATATGCTTAGTCCTATGCATCATACTTTTGAATTTCTGAGCAGCGGAATGTCACTTAGCATGTTCTAGTTATATAATTTATGAATAATCGATATTGACGAATTTATCAAACTCGAAATACTTATAAATATAGTAAAAATATTGCTATTCTACACTGATAAGTTTTTCTTTTATCATTTCATTTAAATATCTTTAAGAAAAAGTATGTAGCATTTATCTCATAAACATACTGATGTGGTGAAACTTTGTAATGCTAATCATATAGTTTTAATTTGTTTCACTGATGTATAATATACTTCAGTGTCATGTTCAATTTATATTAAGGAAAGATATTTTCCTTTCTAAATATAGGATAAAAAAAGCTCATAAAAAGCGGAGGCATAAGCGTAAATTTAATGTGAAACATCCTTCACAGACAAATATTCTCCATGATCCACAAGGTTTTAACAAATCTTTTTTGGAGGTAAGATTTTACTGATATGATTTTTATTCATTTTTGTTTGAATTGTTCCTTAACATTTCTTTTCAAACTTTTAAAATTCATGTTTAACAAACAAATTTGAAATTTCAGATTTCTACTTAAAATCTTATAGCAAAACATTTTGCCCACATATTGTTAAAATATTGCCTGATCAAGAAGTCCAAATCCTACAATATGTTATAAGTTCTAAATAAGTTGAGGAGAAAGAGAGTACATTTTTCAAAAAATAAAAAGTAGCAGTTTTCAATGGAAATTGTATTGTTGCTGTACTGCAATTAAATGACCATTTTCTAATGAATCTACTTATGCTAAATCTTCCATAGAGGAAAATAGAAAACTTGTTCTTTTCTGAATCCTCATTTTGTGTGAGGTAAACTTTTTTCTAAAATGTATTTACATGTTGATTAGCTTAAGAAAAATGCAATAATATAGATTCTTTAACAAATAGAACTCATGTCTTGCATTTTTTAAGAAAAACAATAAATACTTCTAGAGCTGAGTTTTAACAAAAATTACGAAATGCGTTAAATAACTGAAGATAAAGTTGCTGCTCCCATTGTTAAATGTAAGTGTGAGAAAAATACTTTCTGCACCTGTTTTCCATCATTTCAATCATTCTTTATGCACTTTTATTATGTAGAATTTCATTAATCTCTGTTTTACAATAAGTGATGATCTGTTTATCACATTCTTCAAAGTTTACGAATTTAGCCTTTGTTTTCTAATTTGGAAATGTTCATGGAAACTCTTTGTTAGATATAATTTTGATGTATCTAAAATATATATATAATATATATATAAATATAAAATTAAATATATGTAACAATAATATATAATTTTGATAGGACACTTGTCATACCCATCAAAATTTTCCTGAAGTGCTCTTGTCATTCCTTGAAGTAATGGTGGACAGCCGGGTTTCATACTTGCTCTAGATTGGCTGTTGCAATGTTTTTAGTGACTTACATGTTCCAAATATTTTGTCATAATAAATCACCAGCAATTGGAATTTTTTCACCTTATCCTCTTCAAGATGATCACAAACGTAATAGTTCACAAACGTAATAGTTCAGTAAAAGCCCAACTATCCAGCATTCAACTAACTAGAATGCTCAGACTGTAGTGGCCCAGTTATTACATGAGAAATAATTATTTTTTATTACAAGTATTTTATATTTTTTCATGTGTTTAATTATTTTATAAAATGGCAACAATATGTATTTCATATTTATATTTACATTTCTTAATGCTGAATGGCAATGAGTTCTGATTCATGATTGCTTGATTTTGGTTTCCAAACGTTGCTATTCTAGTAGCGTCATATTTCTATAGCTGGAAAATAAAAAGCAATAACCTTAGCTATTTGTTTATAATTCATGCTGTTGCTAATCATAATTTAATTTTGAACATTAGTAGCCAAGGCTATATATATATATATATGAAAAAAAAAATTACTTGTAGAAGTTGAGGAAATGTAAATAAATAAATAAATAAATAAATAAATAAATTAGTAAATGAGAGATTAGTAACCCCATCATAGAGCTCGCAAAAGTATTAACACATATACATTGTCATCAAACAGTGTGATTTCGAGCCAGTAATGAATAAGCAGAACATCAAAACACAATTGTAAGAAGTTCGTTTTGGTTTAATGTAAATTCTTGACAAGCCGAATTAATTTTTGTAAAGATGAATATAAGTTCTATTTTATCCTCACATTTTGAAAGTGTTTTAGTATGCATAAGTAATTTCAAAGTTACAGAATCTGGGCATCAATAAAAAATATATATGCGCGTTTGAAAACAAATAAATAGTGGCAGTGGAATATGAAAATTCCGAAGTGATTTAAGTTTTTTTTATATGCTATATCTGTAATTTGTATATCTTTATTATCTAACTAAATAAAGAATAATTTGCTTGTTTAAACTTCTGCTGGAATGCTTAATGACATCTTTGCCAACTTTCATGTTCAGCAGGATTTTGCAAATTGGATCAGCTGTTTTACGTTATGTTTAAGACCTTTGAATGTATTGGCTTTGATGTCTAAAAGGCAATTTGTGTTCCCCTCAAAAAAATCGTGTTTTAAATATAGTGTTTTGATATTCAGGTGGTTATCAAATCAGATGACAGTTTTTATAATTTTACAATGGAAAATTTCCCCACTGATTTGACTTTTCTAATGCAAATTCCTATTTTTATATACACAATCAACTATCCAGAATTCGACATTTCTTGAGCTTTCCGAATTGTCAAGCTTTTACTCTGTGAAATTGTAATTTTGAAGTTTTCACCTTATTTTTTCTGGTTTTATTTAATTTTTTGTTTTGTTAGAATAATGAATCTAACTTATTATGTGTTTTAACTTTTCGTGTGTTACCAGTGTTTTATTTAAGCATTGCTAATGATGTTTTCCTCCAATTTATAGCGAGTATTCTATTTGTTTTGTATATATATAGTGATTTTTGCAGTTTATCTGTTCCTTTTGCTTTTAAACTGTACTATGTTTAGGATGAACATGAATCAGAAGAGATGAAAAGGTATGTGAATGAAGACATCAGCTCATCTCAGGATGAAAAAGAGCAGCTTCAAGGTCCCATGCCTGAAGCATGTGAAAATGAAGAATGTATGCCTGATAGCAGTAACAAGGCCCTTAATAAATACTGGCATCAACGATACCGTTTGTTTAGCCTATATGATGAAGGAATACAGTTAGATGAAGGTAATAATTCCATTTTTCTTTTTATAGATGTTATTTGGAGGTACTCTATTATTATTATTTTTTTTTTCAAGTAGGTATTCTGTTCAGTAGATACCTGATTGTTTAATATTTTATGCAAAAAATTTCTTTTTAATATGCAATTTTTTATAGATTCATTATCAGTGTGTTATATATGAATATTTTTTTTTTAGATATAGGTTTAAGATTACCATTTCTTGGTTAAAGTTAGTTATAGACATGTACATACTTACAGGTATCAATAAATATTATTTGCCTTTGCTTTTCATATATATTCAAGTGATAAAAAAAATCATGGGATACACGTTTACTATTGTGCAAGGCTTGCATCTAGCCAGGTGATGTCATGTGGAATGACTTTGGACTATCTGAATGGCTATCCCTAATTGACATGTTATTGTAGTTTCTGAATCGTATGCACAGATGGATCTTTCAATTATGTAAGCATTCCATTGGGATTGTTTAGTGAACAATGATGGCCAAATAATTCATCAGAATTGTTTGGTATCCTTCTGAAACCAATCATTAGCAATCTTGGCCGTATATGTGGTAAATTCTATTGTTCTTCAGATAGGTTAAGTTTATGAATGGCTAAAAATGATCACCAGGCAGCTGAGTTCTCATTTCATCACATATTTAGCAGGATCGAAGCTTTCAGATTACATCCTAAAAACATATTTTATACAATTATGAAGCTACTAGCAGGTTGAAGAATGCCATTTTTATAATTTAGGTCAATGGGTTCATGTCTGAATCTTGCATCAGATCATAGCAATTAGTGTGGCTCAGCAAATCTGATTGTGTTCTACCTCTTTGGAGTTCAGTTAATGTTTTCATGAGCAAAGCAGGTACCACAAGATATATAACAGTTGTGATGATATGGTTGATAATGTTAAATGTTCAAACAATTTTAGAAATTGAATATCCTATTCATTAGGGGTTCAGCAATCATTCCACAATAAAATCAGATAATTCATATCAGTTTATAATCAGTTATTGCTTTCTGGTGTAAGCGATAACACGTCAAGCTGGCATTCGAAGAATCCTTGTTTCAAATCCCAGTGATCGAAGAGCCCTTTTCTCAGTTCTTCTACTCCTAATAATGTAATGAACTTTACAATAGTGCTCAACTAAAATGTGGTATGCAATAATTCATCACGACGTGGATTTGGCTGACTGAATTTCATCACTCCTCAGCCACCTTTTAAGAAGGGAGAATATAAGGAATTATTGCACTTCCCCATGTGTGCCTTCCTAATAGGCTTACAAGACCAAAACTTATATACTGTTGTTATTTATAAAACTTTTACACAATGCTCATCATATTTGAAAATTTGCAAACTGCTTTCCCTTGATTTTTGGTATTTGAATATATGTATGATGTACACTTTGGCATTGTAAAAAATTAATTCAGATATAGCAATTTAAAGAAATATTAATCCCAGTCCTTTCATTCTCTTTAGCTTAATTATAGTTTCTATAAAGTGCAGTTATAAAATCATAATACTGGATAATACTTGTGCAAATTCAGCTGTAAATTATATTTACATATAAAAAAATATTATTAAATGCAGCATAATAGCTGCGTGGCATTGCAGTTTCATAAGTTATTGTCATATGAGTTATTCCAGACTCAAAAAAATACCACAAATGCAGGTGACATGCTAAACCACACAGGCATGCTGTGAGTAAAATCAGTGCTGCTGCAACTAGTATAATAAATACAGTTTTCCAGTATAATTACTTGTTTCTGTTTCATCACAACAAATACATTTGCAAGAACAATACTATATTGTATTTTAATGTTTTACTAAACTAAAGTTAGTGTTTGAGTTAAGTTAGTATTTGATAAAAAGATATTATTTGAGGTAAAAATATTTTTTAACCCATGGTTAAGTGGTTGAACTTGATTAGCAAAGGTAATGAAGTCTCTTCGAGCAATGCAACAGAGTCTCTTCGAGCAAGATCTAGTAATCGGAAAGAAAGAGGCATATATTATGCAAAAAGGAAAATACAGCGAGTCATTTCTCCAGTTTAGTTTTACTTTTAACAACTGTGATGGTAGTAAATAATCTCTTTATTTAATTTGCAATAATAATTTGGCTATGGAGAGTATGAAACCAGTAAAATAAGAAAAAAGTCATATATAATCCAAGCATCATCCTTCATGTGTCAATTAATGAAAAGACTATTTCGAATGATTATTAAAATCTTTGAATAAAGAAAAACAGTATTTTGAGAAATTTCTGTTAGCAAAAAATATTTATTAGTGTCATGCGTTTCATATCTTTTGCTGAAATAAAAGCTGTATACCAATGGAGAAGATCCTGTTGTGAATAAAATGGTAGAAATACTTTACAGACAATAAAGTACCATCGTAAAGTAGAAAATCTCATATTACCTGTTGTGAATAAAATGGTAGAAATACTTTACAGGCAATTGTAAATATGAGAATAAAATTTTAAAAATTTCTTTGACAAACAATATACAATATATATTACTGATAGAATTTCTAAAATTAGTGATGACCAGTTCTAGCAGTTTATGCATCTTGAAATATGTCCAAGAACTTAAGGCAATATATTAAAACAGCATAAACATACAATTAGAATAGTGCAAATAGAAATACACTTTACAGAATTTTACAAATGTATATTGTGGGACATCCAAATTCAGTAATAATATAGAGAGTTAAACTTTTAGGAACAAATTGAGTGAATATTAATTCTCTTGGCGTTGTTCCTGTTAACAAATTAAGAAAAAAAATTGGAAACAATTTTATAATGAGGCATAGGTTAGCTCAGAACCTAAGCTTGTTGATAATCTGTCAATCCTTGCCACCAGGTGATTTTTTGCTGTAAATGTGTAGAAGGTTTGTATGTTGTTATCGAAGATTTTAAGGTGGTGGTCTCTGGTAAGTGGGCAGATGGTAAGATAATTGTAAGGGATACTAATTTCTCTAAAGGCATAGAGGTTGATTTTGCTGACACCATGCCTATTAAAGTGTTCACAAAAGGGACTATATCAAGTTAGTTCTGGAGAACTGATACTTCAAATCATACTTTGAAAAGTACTATTGCATTCCTTGTAAAAATGAAGACAGTAATTGCATATATACATTTTCAACTTATTCGTGCAAAGTCCTGTGACATGTCACCTATGGAGGTAGGAAGTAAGAAAGAGAGGCCCTAAAGATTTTTCCCCATACACTGCTTTGAAGCACTGGCATCCCTTTGTGGTGACCAAAACATTCAGTGTCTTACCGGTGAGATCAATGGGTTTTGACACTATCGGATGTTAACATTTTGTAATTACGTCGTAAATATACATATAAATGTATATATTTTCTTTTTCTACAATATTTCAGAGTCCTAAGTATGTGAAAAGAATAAATTTTTAAACATAATTTCATTCTGAATGGAATTAAAATGTTACACTTTTCACAGAAGAGTTTGCTCAGAACAGTTTAATTTGAATGAAATATTTTCGCAAGTTTTCGTTAATTACATTAGAAAGAAATTTTAAGGTAATTTGATTTTATTCAGTTAAGGATTACAAAAATTAAGATCAAAGTTTATTGTTTTATTAATATTAAAGTTAGCATTATTTCTTTTCTATTTATAGAGCTTTTTCGTAAAATACTTTCTCAAATATGACATGATTTTTTAGCTTCTGAGGCATCTTTTAAATCGAAACATCTAAGTCAATTTATAATTAATGCTCTATTTGGTCCATTTCAAATTAGATTATATTTGAAATGGACCTTTTATGTTAATCGTGAAATACATTAAATATTGATGCTCATTTCCATGTACTTAACTTTCTCTGAATATTTCTGAAAGGGAAGAAAAAGAGGATTTTTTGTAATATATTATTCAAAACTTGTAACTGAGTTATTATAAAATGTAAGGGAATAATTCCTTTAATTATATATATCTGATTTTTTTTTACCCTTAATTTCACCAATACATATTTTAAAACTCATCTTTATTACTTAAGTATGCATCTCATAGTATTTGCTTTTGAACTCCTTTTAACCAATTGCTTTCTAGTACAAACTATTCTTGCTTAAATACTTTTATAAACGTATTTGTCAACAGGATTTCAACTTATGTTTACAATTCAATGTTAAAATTATTGTATATTTAGGTAATATTTATAATCATTATAAATTTAGATACATTTAATAATTAGATTTCTTCACAGTAACTTTCACAGGATTTTATGAATAAATAAATCCTTCATTTCAACTACATTTATAAATAATTTAATAAATATTTACATATTTTGTTAATGTCAGATACATGCTTTTTGGCAAGCATATGCATAAATACCCATACATATTTCACATTTTCATTTCCGGCATATGCAAATCTTTAATTTCTGTGCATTCATTATATTTTTCAAGTAAAGTAATTTACAATAATTTAGCATATATCCGGAATTTTTACGTAAGAAATATGTATAAATATAATTTGAATGAAACTTACATGCATTACTTTTAGTAACCACTCAAAGGTAAGTTTTTTTTTCCAAACCAAAAGTGATTATTTTTCAATTATATAAAAATAAAATGATGAGTTTAAAATGAGCAACTATAAAGCCTCTCCTCTAAAAATTTTTAAAAAGTAAATTTTACAATGATATGTGGATGACAAGAAAAATTAATTTTATTTAAAACATTTTGGCATTTGGAACATAAAATAAAAGTACTCTGTCAGGGGTATCGAGAGATGTATACAATTTTAAAGGTACCATAAGGTATTTTTCATTCTTTAAGCATAACATTTTTGCTAAAATCTGTGTTTTTGTAGTTCAGCAACTTAGAATTTTATAAAACAAATTCAAAATCAAAATCACTGTTATTAGTTATAGAAAAATAACAAAGTTGTGATTTTTGCATAAATCTCATTAAACTGTACAAATTGCTGTCATCCATCACACAATGAATGTTTCTTTTATGTGGTGGTGTCCCGTTTTTC